CACACACTCAGCCTCCCAAAGGTGCGGGATTACAGGCTGAGCCACCGAGCCCGACTTTTTTTTTTTTTTTTTTTTTTGCACATAGAGATAGGTAGGCCTCTATCCTCCAAAGTGCTGGGATTACAGGCATCAGTCACCATATCCAGCCTGGCCACCTCTTATGAATTCTTGTATTTGTATATTCTTGTGGTTTTTCATACCATATTCTGTTTGGTGTGGTGAAGGATTTTGCAGCTTGTTTTCTCTAAAAGTAATGGGACGCCATTAGAGTGAGCAAATCAATGACACAGTCTAGATTTTTTTTTCTTTTTTTGAGTTGGAGTCCCACTCTGTTGCCCAGACTGGAGTGCAGTGGCCACTCCTGGCCACCACAGCCTCAACCTGCTGGGTTCCAGCGATCCTTCCGCTCAGCCTTCCAAGTAGCTGTAACTACAGGTGCGCACTACCACGCCCGGCTAATTTTTTGATTTACTGTAGAGATGAGGTCTCGCCTGCCCAGGCGGGTCTCGAACCCGCGGACTCAGGGAATCCACTCACCTCAGCCTCCCAAAGGCATGGGATTACAGACTGAGCCACCGAGCTCGGCAGTCTAAGATATTTTATATTATTTTATTTTATTATTTATTTATTGAGTTGGAATCTCACTCTGTTGCCCAGGCTGGAGTGCAGTGGCATGATCACAGCTATCGTAGTCTCAACCTGCTGGGCTCAGATGATCCTTCTGTCTCTGCCTTCCAAGTAGCTGGAACTCCAGATGCTCACCGCCACACCAGGCTAGTTTCTTGTATTTTATTGTAGAGATGAGGTGTCACCAAATTGCCCAGGCTAGTCTGGGACCTCTGGGATCAGGTAATCCTCTCGCCTGTGCCTCCCAAAGTGCTGGAATTACAGGCATGAGCCACTGTGCTCAGTCTGTGTTTTGTTGTTTATTTATTTAATTTATTTATTTAATTTCATTTTTTGAGTTGGAGTCTCACTCTGTCCATTGAAGCCTCAATCTCCTGGGCTTAAGTGGTCCTCTGCCTTAGACTCCTGAGTAGCTGGGACTACAGATGTGTGCCACCACACCCACCTAATTTTTTTGGGGGGGGAGGGTTGGAGTCTCACTCTGTCGCCCAGGCTGGAGGGCAGTGGCCACCGCAGCCTCGACCTGCTGGGCTCCGTCGATCCTTCCGCCTCAGTCTTCCAAGTAGCCAGAATTACAGGCATGCGCTACCACGCCCG